GTTTCGTGAGGTGATGAGATATGTAATTTTTGACTGAAATGCGGACATCCGTTCACGCAAAAGTCCATACAAATACAAATACAATAGACTATGGTTTTCATGCACTGCTCTATGGGTCGGTTTTAATTTTTTTGTTTTACTCCCCTTTTATTGAATACATAATAATACAATTTTCAGGAATGGGAAAGTGGCCAATCATGAGGTTACCGTACAACAGAACTCGAGTGGGCAAGTCAGTCGGTGGTTGTGGGATTCAAACACATCTTCCGTAACGATAATTTGGTGATCTTTACCAATTGTGAATCCCCAGGGAAATTACTTATAATTACTTACTAATTACTTATTAACATTACCACCCTCACGGGTTGATTTCATAACTATTTGCACCATAATTTTCTTGGCACAGTTTCCACTCATACAAGTGATTTATGTATATTGTACGGTTAAAGCAAACCCTTCACTGCTCCTATCTATATATTAAACAAATGCAGTGAGTTTCCGACCGAGTCATAATCGCCTGAGACTAGTTCAAGGTTAGTAGCCCATAATTGGGTTGCAAATTTGGGTTTACTTTTGGGATCAACAGACGCTTGCTTTTGTCCATACCCAACCTCCATAGGTTTTCTTCCAAAATTTTCTTTTCAGGCAAAGTTTGATTTATTTGCTGCGAGTTTCATTTTACCAACAAAATGATTATTTTTGTAATTGAAAGTCAATTCATTTAAAAGTAGACTGAGGCTTCATGATGCTGTCTTTGTTCAACTCCTCTAAATAATACCGCACATAATTCTTGGTCGTTTGAGCACTAACAAGTCGTTTATTATCTTTTCCTCAGGACGACCTCTCAGTCAAACAAGACGGGGATCCGGACTCAGGTGATCGTTTGGTTGAAGGGGACTCGTTTTCCGATGTGGCCTCCTAAACGGACTAAATTTGGACGGATCCTTTTTTATGTATGCTTTACTCGTTCGCACCACTCCCTATCCCTTCTCAAATGACCTTGTGGTGTCCTCACTGCTGAATCCTGCACACTGTCCAGATGTTTCACGTCTACTGTTTACGTGAAAATACACAGCATCGTAAAAATGAGTCTTGCTTTGTATGCCTTCTTGTTAAAGTTGATAAATTCAGTTCTTTGTCGTTGTTCGATATTGATGACTTATTTGTGACGGAGAAGTTTATCGTGATATCGTCGTATTTGATCCTGATAAGATACTGATCAAAATCTCTCAGTTTATCACCGGCCGTCCCAAGCGGTCTGTTTTTAAGCATCATGTTAAAATGCCGTAGACCACTCGCTTGATCATAGTTTGGATGGGTGCTTATTCTCATCATTAGTATGCACGTCTGCAGTACAGTGTACAGTTACTTTGAGAGCAGTAGATTAGCAATAATTATTCTTATTTAAAAGGAGGGTATGTTACAGACCGATTGCGTCAACTGATCGATTTACAGGCGTTGGATATTGTGGGAATGATGGTTTTCTATTTCTAGACGTCAAATGATTTTTTCACCATCACATAGAAATATAAAAACGGCCGCACTGCAATTGCTTTATTAGCCAGTAGGGGAGAATTCAGTTCAGTTTGCTTTCTTAGATCCTCTTGGCAACATGTCTGTCCTCAAGTCGGTGTAAAAATATAGACCTATGTCCTTACATCAAAAACAAAGGAAACCTGAACTGAAAAGTCTACAGTTGTTTTGGCCTTGCAGTTAATATCCATGGAACTGGGGACCTCTGGTATAACGCAAACATACTGCTCACTTGACCACCGGATAACTGTTCAGACTGTTTGCTTTTGTTCACAGCCGGTATAGCAGAGTCCGTCGTTACAAGTCTGTTGCTATCATTTAACCTTACTCATCTTTCAGTTCACGTTCGCGAGGTAAACCGTAATTTGGTGTTACTCACCTGCTTATTACCTGTGCCAAACTACTTAAAAACCGCTGTCGTAAACGTCCAGTCGGTAGCTGTTTTCCGTACGCAAACTCAGGTTCGCAACCGTAAAACGGAACCGATAGCACGGTGGCACAGTGTACGGAGCGTTTCTGCCTCACTGAAACGTCACCCGACGCCAAGGATGTCACCATAGCTAAAGTCGTTTGCACTTTGAACATGCGCTTCTTAAGTGTGGTACCGTCATTCATCATACAACTGTCTAGGTTGGAGGAACAAGGAAACCTGATCAGTGACTGACCCTCGGTCATCAGCTATACTGTATTTATTGGCTTTCCCTTTTATTGCACAATCTGAGTTACAGTAAAAAAAGTAAATTCTCGTATTCAAAGAGTATACTGTAACAGGCAGAGTAGGGGAACATTCACGTATGATCCCGTTTATTGATTCTGCTTTTAAAGAGTGTAAGGTTGTAAGTTGGGGGATAAACAAAAGTGAGAGGGTCTCCCACAATTTGGCAGTCCGGGGAAAAAAACAAGATTTGAGCAGATAAGTACCACATCCGGTAACCGAAATCTGATAAGGGTGACTAGATGCCTGTGTACGGGATGGGCGGACAAAAGTTACAGGAAAGGCACTCCTGAGGCGAGCTCTGAAGAACAAAACCCATAGTAGTAACACTAGAGCAGGGACAGTGAAGCGAGTACCCGACGATGGGTTAGTGACTGCAGATTGGGGTTTAGGAAAGGATAATCGATCAACCGAATGGCCTTTCGTTAAATATGCGTTCTCAACCGAAAACCCCCTTGTGTGATTCAAATAAACGGCGGTTTCCAATTTGTTTAGACACTCACCTATCATCAAGACGAACAATGTAATCATCACCTTGGGTGAAAACGAATTTTCAGGGAACCAGCAGTTTTCGAGTGACAAGAAGAGTACAGCCGTGTCACTGCCAAATAAGCTGTTTGAAGATCTTTGGTTATAATCGCACGAAAAACTAATGAGCAAAAAAATGCGCCTGTGTAATGTGAAAGCCTCAATTGAAGAATTTCTTTTACAATTATGCTATAACTTAATGATCCTTTGACACAGGAAAACCTCATACTCTGTGACTCACTTCTCCAAGGTAATCTGAAGTATTTCTCAAAAACAGGCCAATACTACATAACAACAGTTAAATCAGGTCTCTAAAATCTTGTTGGCAAGTTACCTATCCAGTGTAATCATTTGATGGAAATTCATTCACTGAGCTGAATGCATTCAGTTTTCATGATCATCGTTGTCTTCTTATGCACAGACTGATAGTTTACGGCGTCAGTGCTG